CAGCATCTCCACCAGCTCTGATTGCTGTCGACGAGTTTATGACCACCGACTGACTGACTTTACTTCAATAGACTCCTTCTCAAGTCTTTAGTATCAGCAGCCTCTTTTCATTGTATTTTGTTTTACTGTTTTGTCATTGATTGATTCATTGCTTTTGTTGTTGTCGGTTTCTTGTTTCATGTCGCCATCGTCCTCCTCATCGCCATCATCATCATCATCTCGACGAGCCTCCTAATCCGACGACTCTTCTCGCTCACGTTCAACGGACCATCTGCTGTATCACTTCACTGTGATACCCTCAATCAGCCACCGTCAATTGCCGAACTGTACCCTTCGTGGAAATCTATTTGCTCTGTTGCTGGAATATTGCCAGAGCATTTGTTTTTCTCGAGTCGTATCGTTTGCCTGCTTATTTTTTGTTGGGGTGCGCATTGATCAATTTCATCGTGTAAGTAGTGCACTGCACCTTATCACCCACTGAAGAAGCCACCATCACTGCACTCACTGTACTCCCCTGTGGATGCACCTGAACCTCAGCACAGCACAGTCCTATTGTTTCGCTCGTCCTCTTATTGTCATCCATCGCAACAATCGTCAAACAATTAAAAGCTATCATCATTCTTCATTTTTTCATCAATAGCCTGTGAAATCATTATTACTACCAATTGTCTCCCCTTGGCCTCTTTTCTTTTCCCCCATTTCTTCGTCTAATTATGCATCGCCACAAAAATTCCCTGTTTCTTAACCATGCTAATCAGTGCCTTCCCCGTTATTAGACCTGATCTCGATCACCTTCTGCTCCTGCCTTGATCTTCATCGCATACGCTAAGAGAAAGAGAAAAGAAAAAAAAAACCACTTCTCGCTGTAGCGCATTCCGCGCAACTACCCTTGAATCTCCATCACGAGAAGAGAGCTTCTCATCTCGAAAACCTCATTTATTTACCTGGGTTACTTCTTTTACTCTATCCTCCACGTGGTGAAGCGAAGTTCTTGGCAAACGGCTTCCACGGAATAACCTCCTCCTCTCCTCCCCCTTCTTCTCCCTCTAATCACCACACAACCCACCTTGGGAATGCCTTACACGCCGCCCTCACATCGATCTCCCGCTTCGTCAGCCTCCGCATCGCCCGTAGCGAGTCGGCGGTCGTCGCTACAATCGAGTCCAAGACCTAGTCTACCGCGATCTGCTTCATATCTTACAAAGCATCGACGAACACCTTCAGCTTCTGCCCTCAGCGATGGATCGACGGGGACGCTGACACCGCAGGGAACATCGGAGGATCTTAAGAGCATGGGCACAGCTGTTCCTTCAAGCGTGAGACAGTCACCACCTCCTGTTACAGACGAACGCACAATGCCCATGGGTGCTATCATCTCGCCACCCGATTCTGCTTCCTCCGGTAGCGACGACGAGGAGCAAGAACCACAAATTCGAGGTCGAAAGCTTGACAAGGCACTGCGGGATGCTGTCAGCCAGATCCCCATGCAACGTTCATCATCTCCCCCACGGTCACAACTGCAGCATCAAGACAGCACAGAAAACCTACAGCTCCGCCGTAAGGATGGTGTACATCTCAGCTTCAGCACAAGTGCACTAGGTGAACTCGCAAAGGGCCGTAAGATTGGACACGTTCGATCTGCCACTGAGCCAAACGCTGGCCTCTCCAAGTCAAACGACAACTCGATATCTGTATCAGAGGAGGAGTCTGACGAGGACCTGCTTAAGAAGCCTCAAATGGTGCGAAAGAAGTCTGGTGAGCTAGTCCGACCTGCCCTCCGTCCTTCTTCTCGACGACGCCCCTCAAGCATGCCCGGTACCCCCATCTTCTCCAAGGCTGTTCACTTTGATTCACACCTCGAGCACGTCCGACACTTCTTGCAAGTGGACCGACCTCTGGCTGTGAGTGCTGGATCTTCACCAATCGACAGCTACGAGAGTGATACCGAGTATCCCTTCCCTGGCAATGGCAAGCAGACTGCCCGTACTCCTCCATTTGAGTGGGAGATCCTCACCACAAACTTCCCTCACGACTCAGCCACACGTAAGTCGTTGCCCGTTCGACTAGAAAAGGTTTGGCTCTCGGCCGACCAAAAGACTCTTTTGGGTTCTGTGGCTGTCGCCAACATTGCCTTCCACAAGGCCGTTACCTGCCGTTTCACTCTGGATTACTGGAAGACCACCTCGGAGGTTGCCGCTGACTACAGCCACGAAATCCGCCCTCGGGAAACACCGCTGGGTCATGATCGCTTTACCTTTTCTATCAAGCTTGCTGACACGGCCAACCTCGAGTCGAAGACTCTCTTCCTCTGCATCCGCTATACCGTCAACGGACAGGAGTACTGGGACAACAACAGCAGCTCTAACTTCCAGGTCGACTTCCGAAAGAAGCATCTGCCTATGAACGGGAAGAACAACTTCCAGGGCGCTTCTTCCCGACCTGCTAATGGCCTTCCCCGGAGTAGCCGACGCACCAGCAGCGCCAATGTCCCCCGACCCAAGTCGATGCCTGCTGGCTTCGGTGACTTTGGTGATGATGCTAAGCTCAACTTTGACCAGCCTATCCACGAGTATCTCGGCGAGTCTGAGAACAGCACTGGCGGTCTCCGCCTCAAGTCCAAGTCGGCTGGCAACCTTGCTAGCGATAACCTCTCCAAGGATTTCGGCTCGCCTAGCGGGCTTGCCTTCTCCAACCGGTACGACTTCGGTGCTTCCTTGAGTGCTGCTGTCCAGGCCGCGAAGGACAAGGAGGCCTCTCAGGATAAGGATGGGCTTTACATGAAGGCCAACGTCCGGACTCCCAAGCCCACCCTCACTGTCCCTGAGCCTGCCAGCAACGCTAAGAGCCAGTCTACCACCGGAGCTACCTCTCCGAACTCGACAATCTCCAGCTCTTCATATGAAGAGTTGGTCAACAAGTACTGCTTTGTACGTGCCCCCGAAGTTCGCCCTGCTTCACCCATCGCTTCTGGTGCCCGTCGCCCATCCCTTATCCACCAGAATCTCAGCATCAGTCTCCAAGGCCTACGGGATGGCACGGCGACACAGAAGCAAAATGAAAGAGTCGGTTACTAACAATTGTTCGTGTTGCAGTTTGGATCAAAACAGTCGAGCCCTAACATGAAGGACGGTACACTCAGCGGTGCCCGCTTCGACGGTGCTGCCGGCGGAAACAACCATCGCCGCAGCTACACTACCTCGCTTGGAAGCCCGAACGGAAATGCCCATCACGCCGGATCTGCAGCTCACCATACCCTTCAGTTGCACGGCGCCTTGAGCCCTCCATCGGGTGCTTCAACACCAAAGGATGCGTTCCGTGCCAACAGTACTTCGCCTACACCGAGACCTTCAGCCACGGCTAGGTCGGCTTCACCCGCCTTCGTGTCGTTCGATGGTACACCATCCAACGATCTGTCGTACCATGTCCAGCAACAAATGATGGATCGGTTTCCCTGGTCTGATGGACATGCTGCTACGGCGATCCGAGGATAGAATCGCATCGGCGACCGTGGAATGAGGTTGGACTGTTAACATATCCACCAGCAACACAACATCAAGAGCAACCGAAGATTGCATTGCTATCTTGATATCTAATAACTCTTCAACACTTATGGGATAAGGCAACATTATGTTTGTCGCCCAACATCACTACTCTACCCCGGCTGTTTGATCCGAAACAGCACAACCCTTTGACTCAATCACTGGGAATGCTTCTACGGCTGACGGCCACAATTGTTTGGCGTTTACGGTATTGGACTTGTGCGAGCCTGGCATGGCGAGCCGGGCATCCGCATTGGAGTTTGGGAGCCATGTTTACCTGCGAGTCCTGATTTTCTCGTTTGCTCTCGCGGAATATCACCCGCTTCTGTTTTATTCTTGTTGTTTTTAATCGGAACTTCCTGGTCATCATCACCGTTCAACCCAACGCTTGCTTCTCGCCGTTGAACGGACAGAGACGTGCTTTAATGTGGGTTTTGCGTGTGAAGGAAAGGACCCGTTGTGTTTTATCTTTACGTCTGCGGATAGTTGAGCGAAGCCTGGTTTTACGCGTGTCACGAATGTCTCCGAGGCGTATGCCTAAACGATGACTTGATTGAATGCGAAGACTGTATAATGGCGAATGGACAGGACAATTGGGAATGGATTGAAAAAAAGTTTGCCTTCCGATGAATGGAATGGAACGCATGCGATGCAGGATGGATTGTGCTTGGAAGGGAGGAAAGGAGTTGGGCCAGAACAGATATACATTATACTATACACAAAGCAAAGCTGCCAGAATGCGATGCAGATACAGCTCAAGAGAATCATTTGCACCTCTGACTTTTATCCCATGCTTGTGATGTGATTATTTTGATTGACTAGCGCTGAAGGCTCTGGGAAGTTTATTGAGGGGATCGTCGTAGGGCTTGTTGTACACCCATGACGAGGTTAAAGTGGTAAGTACATAACAATAGAATATTAACTTCTTCCGACATGACGGTAAGCTTTCCTTGAACCCAAGATCGGATATCCATTTCTTATTCCGGAGAGATTGTTTGGCGAGCCCGTCCGAGCCACACATCGCAAGCTCGACAAGGCTCTTTCATTGGCCCGCTCGCCAAAAATCAGTTCCATTCTTTGTTCAGCCTTACAGGTAACGCCCCCCAAATTAACGGACGCGAGCAAACAACAGGGAATCCAGTGGGCCGCAGTCATCAGTGCATTATGTTGTTCTCTTCCTTCTGTCAGATGCTGTGAAGTGATTGGTCCGGTCGCCAAACATGGTTGTGATATACTCAATCGAGAGCAGTGATGCAGGGTCGTGATGTGTTTCATGGAGTCTGAGCCTCTTTGATGATGAGTGATTGGCGAGATGAAGTGTTGATCGGTGTTCTGGGGTTGCGTGAGGGATGGGGATATAAGAGAGCGTGTTCATCTGAGGAGAGGAGAGGAGAAGCAGAGATTCATCACAATTATACAGTTTATACACTCTTCTCTTTTTGTTGGTTCAACTAGCTCGCAATGAGGCTTTCGAAGAGTCTTGGTCTTGTATTTGGGTCGTTGGTGGCGGCTCAAGAGTGGGTGGCTGCGCCAAAGAGTCTAGAAGTCGTGTCGTCGAAGTTGTTCAATGGGGCTGAGATTTCGTACAAGAAGGTAAAGCCAACAAACTCACAATATACTTGAAGAAATGAGTGACTAACAGTTAAGTAGACTTCTGTTTGTGAGACTACCGAGGGCGTCAATGCTTACAGCGGTTATGTCACGCTTCCAAAGAGTCTACTCCCCGATTTCCAGCACTGGGATGAGAAGCAGAAAGCCCATCTCTTCTTCTGGTACTTTGGTACGATACATCTCCCATGAAAACCCATGAAAGACGTGCTAATACACACCAGAATCTCGAAACAACCCCTCCACAGCTCCAACATCAATCTACATAGGCGGCGGTCCCGGCTCATCCTCCTTCGACGGCACAAACGGCTTCCCCTGCTCCATAAACCCCGACTCCAACTCAACGACCCTCAATGATATATCATGGAACAAGCACGTCAACATGCTGTACATCGACCAACCGCTGGGAACGGGGTTTTCGTATGTTGACCTTGTGAATGGGACGTTTGATACCCTAACGCAGACGTTTACCCCGGTTAAAGGAGGAAAGGTTCCGAAGACGAATGAGACGTTTTTGCAGGCTACTTTTGACTCGGGGGAGTTGGAGACTGTGCCGAGGACGACGATGAGTGGTGCTAGGACGATGTGGGCTTTTGCGCAGGTTTGGTTCAATGAGTATGTTCTTCATTCGAGTTGTGTTCGGGTATCGCTAATGGGTTAGGTTTCCGGAGTGGCAGACTAAGAATGATGAGATATCCCTCTGGACATCATCCGTAAGTCACCTCGTCACCCTCCCGTTCTTCTACTAACGTCCTCAGTACGGCGGCTTCTATGGCCCAAACTACTTCTCCTACTTCCAAGATCAAAACACTCTCATCTCCAACTCCAAGCCGACATTCCCCAATGCTACGATCCTCAATCTCGCGACTCTGGGTCTCCAAGAACCCGGCATCGACGCACGAGCCATGGCGAGAGGGTACGCCGATTATGGTCACCATAATAACTACGGTCTTCAATTCTTTGACGATAAGACGTACAAGGGTATGCTAGAGAAGCTTGAGAAACCGGAGACGGGCTGTTATGCTCTTACGGATAAGTGTCGCGCCCTTGTGGCGGAGGGTGATCCTGAAAGGTTTGGGAACAACAAGACTGTTAATGAAGCTTGTGTCGCTGCGACGGAGCTCTGCTTTTTTGAGATTCAGGGGACTTATCAAGCTCTCTCAGACGTACGCCTCCCTCTTCCCCATCATCCTCTACGACACTCACTGACTTGGGCTTAGCGATCTCCTTTTGACATCACGCACTCCAACGTCACGCTCTTCCCAAAGCCTTACGTCGAGAATTTCTTCAACCAACCCTGGGTTCAGCAAGACCTCGGTGTTCCGCTTAACTTTACAACGGGGTTTAATAATATTGGGAAAGTGTGGTTGGGCCAGACGGGAGATATCATGATTGGGAGTCTTCATGCTGTGGAGAGGGTTGTTGAACGGGGTGTTAATGTGGCGCTGATATACGCTGATCGCGACTATCGCTGTCCTTGTAAGTTTTCACAGAAGGTTCTTGTGGGGTGATTGCTAATTGTCAAAGGGTATGGTGGTGAGAACATTAGTCTTTCACTGGACTTCTCGTCTGCTACTGAGTTCCGCTCCGCTGGATATACACCCATCAAGACGAATTGCTCTTACACCGCTGGTTTTGTCCGCGAGCACGGGAATGTATCGTTTTCACGAATATTCGAATCTGGACATGGTGTAGCAGGTTATCAACCCGAGGCTTTGTCTGTTATCTTCAACAGAGTTATGTCGCGAAGGGATTTGGCTACTGGGGAAGTTGATCTGAGGAAGCATGCGGGGTATAAGACTAAGGGACGCAAGAGTGTGAGGGGTGTGATGAACAAGGTTCCTGAGTCGCCGGAGAATACGTGCTTTATTAGAGATGCGCCATTGAGCTGCACGAATGAGCAGTTGATGGCGTTGGCGGCAGGTGAAGCGAAGGTGGAGGATTGGGTTGTTGTTGAACCGAAGGGGAAGAAGCCCAAGGCGGTGAAGCCTGAGAGGAAGGGACGCTTCGTTTAAGGTCATGAGATTGGATTGTCATATCAGATGTCAAATTGGGTGGGATAGGCATAGATTCACTTCGCTTCACTTCTACTGTTATTGTTCATATAGAGAATTATTGACTTACACTGATTGACTGAACTGAGCTGCAGGAAAGTGGATCACAAGAGCTGACGTCACATGCCAACTCAGCTCTGCCAGCTCAGCTCCCCTCAGCTTCAGGACCCCTCACTGACTTACCTCCCCAACCAAAATAACCTTAACTTTATCTTCCTCCTCCATCGCCATCTTTACTTCTGTCTGCCTCAAAATGTCCTCCCGCGGCGTCCCAGAAGTCCTCTTTAAAAAAGTAGACGAATACGTCGACTCCCTCGCCCCCCAGATCCAACCCCGCATCACCTCCGAACTCGAAACCTTCCAGCAAAAAACCATCGACAGCCTCGAAGATAAAGTCGTCGACGCTTTCCGATCGCTCTTCAACAAAGATAAGGATTCTTCTTCGAGAAGTCCATTTGATCTTAAGGATGATGCGCCTGATGCGTATGGAGGGCAGAGTCTGCCGTTTGCGGATGAGTTGGCCAAGTTGACGAGGAGTTTTACAAATATTACTGATGAGGCGGGGGATGATTTACGTGATATTTTCGATATTACGGAGGGGAGAGCAGGTGGTGGGCAGGATACACGATCGAGGGGAGGAGATACTTCGAGGGGTGGTGCGAAGGGGTTTTTGTCTGCTGCTTTTGACGCGGTGCAGGATCATCTTGAGAACAATAACGGCAGAGGAGGTGGTCAGGGTTTTGAACTTGATGGTCTTTTAGGTGTGATTAGCAACACTGTCAAAGACGCCGCGAGAAACCCTGAAGAAAAAGCACGGATGATAAGTCCTGAGATCAAAGAACAAGTCGGCGCCAAACTTCGCGAACAGCATGCCCCGATCGCTGAGCAGTTCACGCGCATTGCTCTCGACCATATCAAGCGCTGGTTACGAGGAAATACGAGTACGAAGGATCTGGGCGATGGTGTGAAGGGGGAGATTGAAGATCAGGTTAAGGATCTTGTCAAGGGAATTGGGGGGTTGTTTGGGAACAAGAAGTCCAACGAGGGTTCGGCGAGAGGGTTTGGAGATGGAGATCGTGATGGCGAACGAGCTGATGGGGAGAGCGGTGGTTTCTCAAAGGTCATAAGCGACAAACTCAGCACGGGCATCGCAAGAGTCCACAGAGAAGTCCGTCTTGAATTCCGAAAGATTCTCGGTGGTATTGAAAAGCAACTCTTCGAATTACTACCCGATCAATTCCAACGTCCTCTGGAGAAGATCCTCGGCGGTAACCCCTTCGACGCACAACTCGATCGCGACGCGGGACCGGGCCATTCAGCGGATAGGGGTTTTGGTGATGATATTAAAGCGAAGCTTGTCAATAAGATCAGAGGGTTGGTGAGGAAGGTTCAGGAGACGTTGAGGGAGAGTATTCTGGGGGTTGTTAATGGTGGGCATAGGAAGTTTGAGAGGCAGAGTTGGGTGTTTGTGCAGAATATGGTGGAGATGAAGGTTCAGAAGTATCTGCCCAAGGTCAAGATCTCGGTGCCGGATGATATTGGGAATGAGGGTGTAAGTGTTGGTGCACCGGCTGCGGCGAACCTTGGTGGTTCGAATGCGCCTGTGCCGGCTTCGCAAGGTGGACAGGGAGGATACTCGCCTTCGGGAGGATATGAACGGCCATCATCGCAGCACGGGCAGGGTTATCAACAGCCGTATAATCCTCCTTCGCAGTTCCAGCAGGATCACAGGCCTGATCACCAGCAGATCCAGGACTACAGACCGCAGCAGAGTCACGAATACAGACCACCCCAGGGACAGGACTACAGACCTTCTCAAGGACAGGACTATAGGCCCCAGCAGAGTCAAGACTACAGGCCTCAAGGTCACGACGAGCATCGACCTCAAGGACAACAGGGCGATTACCGACCACAGCACCAGTCCCAGCAGGATAGCTACCGACCCCAGGACGAGTACAGACCTCAGCAACAGCAGTCGCATCAAGAGTACCGCCCTGATCAATACCCTCCGCCACCACAGCACCAATCAAGCCACTCTGGAGGCTACCAGCAGAACGAAGGTTACCAGAATCAGGGTTACCAGCAAGATCAGGGCCACCAGCAAAGTCAAAGTTACGGCCAGAACCAAGGGTACGGGCAAGGCCAGGGTTATGGAAGCAACCCTCGCTACTAAGAGCGCATGTCAAGTTTGACAAGTGCTACGACATTACCAACATTTGCAGATAAGCGATGCATTGCGAACTTACAAAACGTCAGACACAACAGCATCACAGGGGTCCATCCACGCCGATGACTTGGGCGACGCTAGATAGATTGATGAATGAACGGCCATTACCATGATCTGATCCGTCCCCTGTTCTTGAATTGACTTATCAATATGCCGAACATTCCGTCTTTAATTATCCCCTCCCGCTCTAGAACGTCCCGCTACCGAGACCCTGGATTTGCCCCCACAGATCCTGAGTTCCATGGCTTCCGCTTCATCTACACTAAACCATCATATCATGAAGCACCATGACAGAAAACCCCCGTCAATCCCACCATGTGAGACTTTCTATTCTACGACGTGCAGAATATACACCCAGGACCCTGCATCACGAAGATCTCAGTCACCGTTTTGCTTGGGAATGTGATATTACATGACATCCCGGTATGCTTGGCACGGTGGTCTGATTGTTTCGTTACGGGAGAAAACTACGAGTGATATGATATGATGCTTCCACGTGCTGGGATTTCGTCATAAATGCATAGTTTAGAAGACCTCGATACTCATTCTAGCGCTGGAAGCCTGCCTGTGGATAGTTGCACACCCAGAGCAAAGCGCGGTCGAAGTCCGAGATGTGCATGGCATTCTAGAACATGGTGATTGCGCGATAGCATCAAGGGTCCTTCTTTTTAAGGGTCCTGGGAGTGTGGTGGATATACCTTGTAGGATGGGGGAGTGAGGGTTGGGGACTTTTGGAGAGGGAAGAGATAACTTTCACGATCTGATCATGGCGGAGGGTTAAAGAGATCCGCGGATGCCGCGAGAGTCCGATTATGGGAGACGTCACGGGGATATGCCATGGGAAGAGGAAGCCGTGATGTTCCGTTGATGGTGTTGAGTTGGGCACGGCAAGAGAAGTGTCGTAGCGACGGCTTGTAATGGTTGATGGCAGAGGCCCTGCGCTTCTGGGGCTTCATCGTTAACTTGAGATAGTGGCGACAAGCTCTGTAGTCTAGATAAGCAGCTTTACTAAGCTACTCAGAATGATAGGGACGTCCAGGCACAGAGCTAATCCTCTAATTTCCGGTATTGAGCGCCGTTAGAGATGCATCTGGTGCTTCCCCTTGACTGAGCTCTTCTTTGCCAAGTCATAAGTTGCTGTACATGAGTTTGTCAGCCTTGTCTGTTGTTCCCCTGTCGAAGCGTGTCCTCGGTGTATTGTGAGTTGCCTCCTTAGCAAGTCCCCTCAGGAAGAGCTGCCTAATACTAGACCAGCTTCTTTGCGCTTTGAGACGTGAGCTTGAGTTCTTCAAAGCCATTGACTTCCATCGCACTGAACTCAATGCATCAGAGGTTCGTTGTAGATATACAACACGCTCTCAGCTATTAACATTACTATATCCCCCTCTATCCCGTATCTCATCATCTCTCAACCCACAACCCCCCATTCCCATAAACCTGATCCCTCAAAACACCCGCCTCACTCCTAACCCCAACCCAATGTCTCGGTATCCTATCCATCTGACCCTGCACAACACCCGTCGCATCCCCCAACCTCTCCTTAAACCCCTTCTCACTCTTAACAGCCCTAACCGCCGAGACAGAAACTTCCGGTCCCCAATTCTCCCGCCCTAAACTCGCTGTCGTAGTCATAACATCGCGCGTGTGCTCTTCTAAGAAAGCTTCGCTGCTGAGATTTGAAGACGCCGGGTGTAAATGTCCCATTAGCATGACTTTCATGCGCAGGTCGAAGAAGAGTGTGTCGGAGAAGTCGTGGATTATGTGCACTGTTACTTTGTTCCGAAGAACGACGCCGGGAGGGGCATTGCGGAGGGGTGCGATTGTGACGATTGCTTCGTGCCAGTCGTCGTCGAAATCTTCTGTTTCTTTGGGTGGGAGGACGCGTGCCCATGCTGCGAAGACACCGCCCATTCTCATCTTGACCTCATCACCAACTTCACTCAAATTCGCTGTTGGAATACCCAACTCGCGAGTTGATATCCCAGTCCCACGAACGACCTTGCCAGCAAACTTGAAAGGGAACGGCGCTTCAGGCCCTTCGTCACTCCCAAGTATCGTCAACGGCTCCATTGCTTCGCCAGATATCAACGGATCATATCGCCCTGCCTTCCCATTCTTCCAACTCTCACTAACAGCGTTTCCAATCCCTGATCCATGATACGCTTTCGTCGCGACTTTCTTAATAGTAGCGTTCGACGGTGTAAGTCTCTTCGCGCCTTGCTCGACGACTGCCCCTGCTACACCGGTGTACTTCTTTGCAACTTGTGAGCCGATCGTGCTAGCGACTTTGATACCCATTTCTAAAGGCATTGTGCTCAGACTTGAACCACGAACGGTACTAACGTCGGTAGAAGTGCTGGCGATGCGGAATACGGGACTGCCGCAGAGGACCTTTTTGCCGTCGGCGTTGGAGCAGAGAACGAGGCGGAAATAACCATCTGTTGCTGCGGCTGGGATACGAATGATGTGTGTTTCTCGCGGGAGATGCTTCTTCATTCGTCCAGAGGCTTTCTTGACGAAACGCTTGAAATCGCGTTGGATTCCTCGTTCTTCTGCTTCAGAGATATGCTCAACTCCTGTTTTTGTCGCGGGCGTGACGTCGATCCAAGTACCAGTCGTTCCCATCATGGCTTTAAGCGTCATTCCCATGTTTCCTGAATACCCCTTCTGCTGTAACCACACAGTTCTCGTGGGGGGAAGAGGTTCGTCTGAAAGAATGGTGATAGGTACGGACGTCGCTGGACCTCTGTACCAGATGAGAGCGTGAGAGTGGCGAATGATACTGAAATGCTTGTTGGACTCTGCGGGGTGACTTATGAGACCACCAGCGAAATACTGCGCTTCTCCGAGTGCAGCTTTCCACTTTGATGAATCTTTCGGTTTATCATCTTGAGCGTCCAACTTCGCTGATAGAGCAGATGAGCTCTTAACTCTTCTAATCTCATTTGACGGTGCAGGTCCTGGAGTAAGTGAAGTTGAACTTGGGATCTCGTCAACCACAAAATCAACATGATAATTCCCCCTCGGGTCTAAGAACCCCGACTGCTGCGGTGCATGAGCGCCAGTGAGATTCGTCGCCGAGCGGACCGGACGCAAAGGCCGTGGAGGCGGAGGCGGTGCTAGGCCGGCGCCGAACTCGGGACGGTAGGCACTGTATTCCGGGGGCGGGGACGGAGTTGGCGGTGCGACGGGGGGTGGTCGCGTGTAGTAATTTGGGTCAGACCATTTTTCTGCATCCGGAGTTGAAGGGAAATAGGGATTCATTCTGTTGTCACTGACGTTGAAGAGAAAGATGTTGGAATGAATTCAGGGAGCTAAGAGAGGTATGTAAAGATGGGCATACTGCACGTGTTGGGTGGCCAAGAAATTGCACCGTGTGGATGATCAGGGGGTCAGATTCCACACAGTATTCAGACAAAGAGTGTTTCTCTGAGTGTTTCGACATCAAAACCAGGATAAAATATTAAATATTGATAAAAATCGCGGGGATGATATTTATAGAAGCATTTTACTGTCTAATGATCATCTCCAAAATAAGCTTATTATGTTGGGGCTCGCTTCACTCTAACTCCCAGACACCAGAGCCTCCATTTCATCAGCCTCCCTTGGCACATCAGTCAAGTTCTCAGAGCCAGTCTTGGTAATGAGAATGTTATCCTCGATGCTATCAAATACCGGTTAGCAAATTGCTTCGATAGCGCGACGGTGGCCACCAGAGCATAACTTACCGAACTCCACCGACATCCCAGTACTTGTCCAGAACGTCCTTGTCGATGAATTTGCTGTGCACGGGGTCCTCGAGGTAAGGATCGATGATGAACTTGCAGAAGTAAATCTAAAAATGTCAGTACCCTGTGGAATATGTTGCGAATGCCACTTACACCAGGCTCGACAGTGACAACGCTGCCACTGGGGAGAGTGCCCCGCACGCGTAGGTAGCGGAACATCTTATCCTTGTCGCCAAAGTTGGGGTTACCGCCGGTGTCGTGAGTGTCCATGCCAAGGTAATGACCCAGGCCGTGAGGGAGGAAAGCAGCGCTTGTGCGAGCCTTGAGAATCTCATCCTTGTCGCCCTTGAGGATACCAGCTTCGAGGAGGCCATCAATGGCAATCTTGTGCGCGAGCAGATGGACATCATCCCAGAGAACACCCTCCTTGAGAACCGATATGCACTCCTTTTGCATCTTGAGGACAGTCTCGTAGATGTGACGAGACTCCTTGGTGAACTTGCCCGAGAGGGGGAATGTTCGTGTCTTGACGGTCAGCCCAATCCGTCCCAAGCTTCATTTGCACTTACAATATCAGCAGCGTAGTTGTTCCACTCGCCACCAGCATCCATCAACAGGTTGAGCTTGCCGTCCAGAGGCGCATCGTTTCCGACGTAGTGCAGAGTAGCAGCAGCTCTTCCAGCAGCAGCAATAGGGTCATACGACATCTTCTTAACTCCATGAGAATAGCATCTCTCCTTAAACGCCGCCTCAAATTCTTGCTCATTCTTCGCAGTCTTGGCCCTCGCAAACACAGCGCGATGTCCAATACCAGAGATATAGTTCGCCTTTCGAAGCATAGCAACCTCGAACTCGTCCTTGACCACTCGCGAGGTCTCGATAGCGGTCTTCAACACTTCGAAGTTCTTGTTGTCGAAGCCGATGAAGGATACATGGTCGGAGACTTGGTTCGCGATGGCAAAGGCTGAAGACTTGGGGTTCTCGGATCCGAGGTGTGCGAGGGTAGCGTTGAGTTCGGTGGTGAGCTTGACTTCGTCGACGTCGTATTGCGCGAGGGCCTCGTCGATGCTGACAGGGAGACCGGACCAGATGACATCGTCGGGGTTGATGGGAGGAATGAAGAGTGTGGATTTCGCGGATTGGATATCGTAGACGAAAGCGCAGTCGGGGAGGTTGCAGCCGGTGAGGTAGTAGAAGTATCGGCGCTGACTGGAGAATCAAATATTAGATGGTGTTTTGGAGATAAGGTGGGTTACGGACCGGAAGGGCTCGGGCTCGTCGCTATCTTCCATCATTCGAGTAATTTGACTCTCGAGGTAGAGGATACCATTGGCATCGGGAACATCCTTTCGAATGAGGTCGACGACACGTTTGGCATGGTCTTTGCCTGGGTATTTGCCCTTGAGGACAGCCTCGTAGTGTTCAGCGACCATGGTGATAGCTCTTGATCTCTGGAGTGTTTGCGATAAGAAACGCGGTCGCGTAAGTGATTCTGTACTCAGATGTCGCAATTCCGTATACAGACTTTGTCGCGCTGACCTTGCAGTCTTTGTAGAAAGTGTTCGTGTTGTTGCTTGAAAAGAACAAAAATGGAGGGGAGATTTGAACAACCCCGCTATGGACCTCGGAGTCTTGGTCATGACGGAAGTGCATTCACAAATTAGGAAGCTCCAGTGGTTGCATTCACTAATCGCCTGCCCGTTACAGGGTTTCAAATGTGGGGTTACGGCTGACAACGGCTTTTGCAGGTAAAAACAATGAGCTGATGGAGAATTGAGATGGGATTCTGACGGATGAATTAATGGTCCGTTGAACAAATAATGAAATATATTAGCTGCAAGCTGGACTATGTGCAATAGTAACTACTATATGAAACAATGTGACGCGAAAGGAATGTCGAAGGAAGGGCATCAAGCCAGTTCGGAGAGAAAGTCCAAGATAGCATTGTAAGTGACGGTGTGTGAGTATCCAAAGTTCAACCCGTGACCTGCACCAGGAACAACAGTGGTGTTGAATCGAGAAGCTTGCGTGAAGAACTTTCTTGATACGTCGAGTAATGAGGGTAACTTGGGGTCTACACTGATAGTAGAGTAGCAGTTATCACCGCAGAAAGGAACATCGCGTGCTGCAGTCCGTTAGCATTGCATTGTGTCATGCAGGGTGAAGGGTTGACTTACAGCCAGTCACGATCTGAACAGGTCCAGTGTATGTGTTATTCTTTCCAGCTGGTGCTCCCAACGTGAGAAGTTCACCGGGCGTCACAGGCTGACCCTTCTCGTATGCCAGCTCCAGTAGCTTGGGATCGAAGTCGCCCTCTGCGAAGAAGTTGATCTGCACACCCTCTGTAGATGACACACCGACGTAGCCAGCGGGATATTTGTCAGCGAGAGGCGAAGCTGTAATAGGAATAAAGTTACTTCCAACTGCGAATAGCGACAAATAAGCAGTTGCTTGCGTGAAACCCGTCAAGACAATAGCGTCAGTGAGTTCAGGACTCTCGTTGGCGAGCGCATAGCTGATAACCGACCCAAACGAATGGCCCAAATGAACGACCTTGGAGTATTTGCATCCTACTCCAAGAGATCCTTCACGGGCTTTGGTAGTGAGTGCCTTGAGAGCTGCAATCTCAAGGTAAACCTGAATCTCATTTAAAGGATCTCCCTTGGAAGACGCACCGACTCCAAGACGGTCCCATGTAAGAGTCGAGTAGCCATGCTCATCGACCGCACGCGCAACATAGCTGTAGTTGTAATTGTTGTAAGGAAAGTCCCAGTAACTTCTATCAAACCCAATACCATGCGTCATGATCTGGAGTTCCTTTCCAGGACCAGCATCTGGTTCGCAGTATGTAGCAGCGAGTTCATAGTCACCCGAAACAGTAGTAAACTAACACCATAAGCTTATGCCGAACCATTGAGTGAGTGTTTGACTTACACCCTTTTGCACCTGTTCAGGAAACGATGGTTCACCCTGTCGTGCGAGATTGATAGCGAAACTCGTAACTTCAATCCCTGTCAGAGGCGCCTCGATTGTGAAAACAGCATTTTGAGAGTCAAGTGACACAGGAACTGTGATGTTTGTGCACTTTCGCGCCGAAGCGGCGGTGATGAGGGTGATGAGGGCCAGAGACTTGATCATCATGGCAACTGTCTAAGAATAAGCAAAGATGGAGAGACAATCTCAAGCCTCGGGAGTGATGATCTATGTATCTTTATATGAATGAGGATATGCATGTCTTAATTACAAATTTCTCATCATCCGCTGACCGGTCCTGCAAAGCTTAGCTGCACCTGCTAATTTGTGTTTCTTGTTGCATATAGATCCTTGTAGATATCATCTTCGATCTCACTCCACATGAAAGGTCCGACCAAAATCGGTCAATGCTACCAACTACCTCCCAAACAAACTCCTACCTACTAGGTACAGAGCTACAGTATAGAGGAAGAGCATATTTGCTTGTGAATGACGCTTAAATACTATGTTACAGTACCGAGGCACTCGAGACACTAGCGGAGAATTTAATTCTAAACTCACGGACACTATCTAACGGGTCGTCTATTAAGATCTTCACTCGGTAGAAACGACCTATCCGCTGTATCCATCTTGGCAAAAACACGTGTTCTAAACGAGGTGAGATATCCACTCGGTGTACTCTGTGATTGATATTTGGAATCGCCCTTGCAGAGCCTCTTGACGTGATGGATGCAGTGAGATTGTTAAATCCGACATGTCATCGGGGACTCTTGCTTGCAGTCTGATGTAACCCTTCTAACAAACTCAATTGACCCTCAGACGGGCCGGGCCCATGGAGAAATGACAAATATCTTACCAAGACTAGCAGACCTTGTTGGTAAAAGTAGCTGAGAGGTTGAAGTCATCTGCCGAGGGCTCCATCCCTTGCATTGTGATAGTCAGAGTCTCAACTGAGACAGACACACCGACCGGTACGGGGACTTTGTGTTCTAGCGTCGAATGGATGATTGAGACGGGCACGATTGAACGGGTTTAAGTGTTTTTTATTGTTTTATGACGGGATAGGGTCTGAGTCGAGAACATGTATGTCTTGAGTGTTGTCTCGTATAACGTCCCAAACGAAAAGCAGTGACAAAAAGCAGAGATGGCAACCAATAGGCACAAGGCAGGTCAGCTGCATTAGCACAATGTCTTACAGATGTAAGCAGATTGACAAATAACCGAACAGACATCAATCTATTTGCAATTCTTCTTACAGCTCATCCTTCTCATCCAACTCATGCTGCAGTTGCATCGCCATCCCAACAGCCGCAAAACCACCCATATGCATCGCCTGCAACACACTCCTCATAACAGTCGCCGCATCGCCAAACGCAAAACATCCCTTCACACTCGTCTCATTCATCGGCGCCTCAACCTTGATATCACCCGTCGGCGTCTTCTCCAGCCCAAGCTGCTCTGCAAACGGCGCTGCTTGTACGACATTGGGATGACTTACCACGAACCCCTCGGTTTTGGAGGAGCCGTCTTCGAAGGTGATTTTAACAGCTGGACCGCCGTTGATGAGGGCGAAGGATGTGATCTTTCGAGTATCGTAGTGGACTTTGCTGCTGTGCACTTTTGTCTTTATGGTTGCGGGTAAGGAGGTGTCGCCGTTGGTGTAAATTGTTACGGAGTGGGAGAGGCGTTTGGCCATGGGTGTTACGTGCGCGAGCATGTCGGCGCTGGATAGCATGCCGCCTGCGAAGGCGCCTACTGACTCTGCACCTCGCTCCTCAAATCCATGGCAGTAAAGACAGTGAAATCTTCAAAATTAGCAAGGTACGTTCACAGCCTCAGGAGCTCACTCACATTCCCTTCCCCCAGCACTCAGCATACCCATCAGGCTGCTCCTCCACAAGATCCTTCACACCCGTCCCAAGACCAAGTTTCTTTCCCTGATAGACATTTCCATCTTGATCAACCGCTTCGAAAACACCAGTGTCTGCTTTTCGAACGGTGGTGATGGTTGTGGATTTGAAGTCAATGCTTTCATAACGCTTTTCAAGATCTTCGCGAGCCTTGTTGCGGAAAACGGAGGGCTCAACGTGATCGAAGCCGAGGACGTTGTGCATGTGTTTTGTAGGTGCGTTGCGATATACGCCTGAGTCGAGGATCAAGGCTGTGTAGACTTGGCGGGCGAGGGCGGATGCCATGGCAAGACCGCCTGGACCGCCGCCGATGATGAGGACGTCGTAGAGCTTGGATGACATTATGGCTATTTGGGGAGTAAGGGAGATTCGAAGGTGAAGTTGTGATTGTTATGCGATGAGAGTATGGTGCTCTTTGGCTTATATACATTTTGCGGAGAGATCTTGAAAATCTCCGGTCGGAGACTTTGCTGATGGGGCGGAATCATCTGGGAGTTAGATAAAAAAGGTGCCGCTGACTTGGTGGACGAAATATCTTCAACTATTGAGGCTATGGTCATTGAGTATCATTGGTCTTGGCTTAACATCGTTGGTTGTGTCGACCGGGCAGATACCCCAATAGAAGACGCCCAAGAGTGTGAGGGCGACGAGTTAGTGTCAACGTCAGCATAGGCATACGTAGCGGAGTTGAGGTTACGATAAGATACTAGTCATCAATCTCTACGAAACTTTTGCTGTTTCAGGACTCATTGATGGTCAACTGAAGTAGATCAGGGACTTTTTGAAGGCCGCTGTTGGTGATGTTAGTGATGAGCTTGCATGTATAAGCCGATTAGCCGTTGAGACGGATGACCGGCATAGGCTGAACCAACAACCGCAAAACAACAATCGTAATCGCGAAAGCGGTTATGTTATGGTCTTGCTACAGCCGCAGTATTGGGCTGAAGGAACAAGGCCCGTATGTCTTCCCAGGAACGAAGCAGGCAGAGACAAAGTTAGATAGGCCTTGCAAGGCGAACAGCATGTCGTTCGTTAGCATGGTAGGCAGCAATCAATCACTTCTCACGACATCATATCATCTATCATCACAGAGGCATAGGCATCAATAAGAAATTGAGTAGATAGTACAAGTTCAGACCAAGTCTGAACCATCAATTGTACACTATAAAATAACAATATCCAAAGTCCCGTAGGACCAATCCAAAACAAAAACAGCACTCGCTCTGACTATGCAAGCAGGACGCTACAATGTAACTCCATCGCGATGCTCAAGCATTTCTGCGAGCACCAGCGACTCACCCCGTCCAGAAACCCCAAGCAGCGCCAAGTTTAATGAGGACCAGTCCGACGATGAGGCTCTCCCATCGCTATCTTGCTCGGAACCACAATCTGCAGTTGCATATTCCGAGTCGGACCTGCTACGAGTCGTCACCTAGCACCACCCACGTCTCTGAACCAGGCGTAGCTGCACTATCCAAGATTTCCCGCTGAGAGGGTAAATCATCGAGTTCACTGTCTGAAAGACAATCGTAATCTGAGATTAAATCGGGCGGTTGGGACGTATCAACGTCGAAGGAGGGGTTTGAACCATCGAGTTCGTATATCACGCGCAGAGGAGCGAAACTGCGTGTGGGTGTGGTAGAGGGGATTGTGTCGTCGGAGGAAGAGGCGAGGATTTGCGCGAGGGCTTGGGAGCCGCCGAGATCTGTGAAGGAGAGATCGAGATGCAGAGGCTGGTTGAAGCTGAAGCTTTGAGCACGCTTCTTGCGGGATTGCTTTGCTGGGCGGATGGAGTAGATGGGTTCTTCGTGCTTGATACTGTCAAGATTGAAGCCCTCGCCCCTAACCTGCTCATCGTCGTAGAGCAATCCCATGCGATACAGCTCAGCGACTTCATCATCCTCCGTCATGGGCATCTTTCGTCCAAGGTACACATTCCCCCTCGCAGTAGAAGCATCACGAAACGCTTCTTCTCTCTCAAGCGTAGGTCTCCTCACGAGTCGAAATCGGTCACTAGGCAGAGAAATCTTGCTATTCGCTAGATCTCTCCCCTCGACCTCATCGGAAGAACCACCAAGACTGGAGTGGTCATGTTTCCGGGCGATGCGGTTTCGATAGACATGCGTCCATCGTGGATTCGCGCGCTGCAAGTTCCCCGTCGAGATCTCGTAGTGCAGGATCTTTTCGAGCTGGGGACGGCGCGCGCCTCCGTTTGTGTTGTTATCTTGTTGTCCGCAGCGCAGACAGTGCGTTTCTCCTAAACTTGAAGTCGTGCAGGGGAAACCGGTGTCGCGGCACAGGTTGGCGCCTTTGTGTTGGGATTGACGCTTTGCTGTGGCGCGGACGAAGTGGTTTCGACTTATTTGGGCGCGGGTCTTAATTGTGCTGGGAGGATTGACGGGGAAGTGTTTGGTCTGGGAGATGGCTGCTGGAAGATCTCCAGAGCTGTTGAGTAAGACGTCCATGATGGGCTGGGGACGTATTATAAGTAGGTTAGATTGATGAAGGTTTGTACAAGTGAAAGGTATTATGTTGTCAGGAAAGATGTTATGTTGTCAAGAAAGGCGCAAAGTTGCGTGCTTGAACACTAAAGGGCGCGAAAGTAAGGAATATGAAAGAGGTATCTGGAAGAGTCGAAGGCTGGAGGGCGTATTAATACGATATCATCTCATCCGGGGCGATATCGTCGTGATTGGCCGCCGGAGGAGTCATATGGACTGCAGATGGCGTACTACCAACCTAGACTAGGCTCTTACACTGTATTACGATTACGGCCTTTGTCTCATCTTTGTTATGAGTAACAGTATAGTGCTGCCTCGGCCTAGTCCTACTTCCAGTCTGTGACGTGACTCACTTCATTGCATTGCTTGATCCGGGCGTCTCGCTCTTACAAGGCCAAGATAACCGAGGTGGCGCAGCGAATAAGACACTTGGGGTTGTTGTTGGGGAAGCCCCTTATCGACGAGGCACAGGGCGAGGCGCATGATGTTTGATTGACAGGCAACGTCCGTGTGATGCGGTTCTGATTGGTTAATGAGTGTAGGACTCATGACGATAAGCAAAAGAGAGGGTGTCGTCATTTGGAGAGGTATCGAGTCGCAGTAATTATAGTGCATTGATACCTAGAGTTGCCTAGAAGGAAGTGTGTTTCTACCAAGGTTCTTTTCTTGAAAGAGTGGTGCCCGATGACCAAAGTGCATGGGTGAAGGCAGGGAATCACAGTCTGGGAGATGAAATGGGATGACGATGTGATGGTATCGCGTTATTGGATAAGCTCTGATGCGGGTGACGACGAGTGTTTGATCGCCATGGAGCTGTTTTCGGTTTGCTACAGAAACTGGGTTAACCAACGATAACGATGAGATAGGATCACGGTGCAAGATAAGACGGTTTCTGTTGGAGGAGCTTGTTTATCTGGGGTGATAAGCCTTTTCCCAATGAGGTTATCCCGACAACACCCGGATGTTACAGCGGCTGGACGGACGTGCCGGGAGGCTGTAGACGTTCAATATTACACTGTATGTCAACATTGCTTTCAAATATTGTGATTGACTGCATTTCAGCTCAGGATCAATATTGCATTTTATCCAACCGCTATTGCCCTGAAACAAGGCATACAGGCCAATGTGCAACGCCGAAAGCAGACACTCACATAACCATAGGGTAACACTCACCATCCAACAATCTATCACTCACTCATCTGACTTGTCAACCTTGACAACCATATCCTCAAGATACTTCCTCACATCAATCATCTCAATCCCCCTCTCCTCATTAACACTCCCACTCTTATCCCACGCAACCCCACGTCCCTGCGCAAACGTATCCCTATACTTGACCATCATGCTCGGCTCACTCTCCATCTGTCTCTTCAGCTCCTGCAGATCCCAAACCTCCCGCTTGAACTTGGTTCCAAAATGCTCATCTAGTAAATCTGCCAGTTCGCCGTAGGATATCGTGTCCCCCGCTGTGTACACAACTTGGTGTGATATACCCCGTGGATCGAGAATTATATCCGCTGTGACGCGGCCGATGTCAACAGGTGTTGTGAGGGTGATTTTGTTATCCCAACTTCCAAGGGCTCTAACGATCTTATTTCCGAGATCAACAACCCCAAAGTCTGGTAGGAACAAAAAGCTCATGAACAATCCAGTTGACACAATCGTCCAATCAACGTCCCTCTGCGCTCTAAGTTGCTTCCGAACTTGTAACTGCTCGTCGAATAAATCCTGTGAACTTCCCTCCCCAATAACATCATAGTCCATCCCAAACTGCCACGGGAAGAATCTCTTAACACCCGCTTTAAGCACAGCATCTAAAAGCTTGAGCTGCGTTCCAGACGGTAATCCCATGCCATTACACGAAACAACAACATCGTACTTGGTAAAAATACCCGCTAGATCTTCAACGCTTGCGTTGACGACATCGGCGGCTTCAAAACCTGCGTTGAGGGCGCGAATGCGCTGGACTAGTTTCTTCTTCTCAGGGGCAGCGGAATCAAGGGTTGCTTGACGGAGAAGAACGGAATAGCGTTGACGCTTGGGGTGGGAGGTGAGGGCTTCGAGGACAGAGAGACCTAGTTCTCCGGCGCCGAGGATAAGGATGTTATGGGGCGTCATTGGGATTGGTATGGATGGGTCGTTGAGACGATTGAGGGCTTGCAAGTTCTCGATGGAGAGTTCAAGAGGCGTTTCGGGCGGCATATTTAGATAGAGGGAAAGTAGTATTTTAGGCTATAGTTTATTTTGTGACGCATTACGTCGTGAATGCAACTTTGGAAGGGACGAGAATGAGGCTGGATCTGCATCTTGGCGGATCCTTTGCGCGGGGGAACGAATGGGCTTGGCGTTTGGTGTAAGCAATTCCTCTATCTCCATGTCAAACTCCGAGAACATGAAGATATTCTAATTTTACTGTATTTGTAAGAACAATAGACTTACATCATCAATAAACAAGGTTGAATGCCCAGATCCTTGTTGGTCAAAGATCCACATTACTCAATATCCGACACTCGAATAATCGAATTCCAATGACAAGCCATGTTTTTAAAGCCAGGGGCAAACATGACAAATGCGGAATTGAACAGAGTTTGTTTTTTGATCCGACAAGAAATGCAAATAATACGAAAAAGGCCTGGTCGGTTTTTATTAAACTTTCAGCTATACGGTAGTAATGCAGGCACCGGTTTACCCAACAAGAACGCCCACGCTTCCCAATGCAGCAACAAACAATGACGATTTCACGACTCTAGGAAAAATAGTAGTCTAGCCAAAGGTAGTGAATGAGGGTTACAAAAGAACAACTGATTGAATGAAAAGGCCTTTATGACTTGACTGTGAGTTTGTTGGCGAATCCAACACGTTGACCATTGAGGTCGAAGACGACGAATTGCGCCTTGAGGAGGATGTCGCCCAGAATGGCAAATCCAATACCGTCGGAGCTCTGAATACCGCCGTAGCAGAGGGTCGTGGTGAGACGGCCGTAGTTGATGTAGTTTCCGGGGACTTTGCCGCGGTAGTTGCCGAAGCCAAAGTAGAAGCTGGGGAGCTTGGCTGTGCAGGGGAAGACCCAGACGCCGTAGTCCTCGTGGATGTAAGAACCCTTGACCTTTCTGTAGTAGAAGTTGGTCAAGTAGCTGGGCAAAAGAAGAAGTGTGGTGCCGGTGTCGACGATAGCTGAGTAGTTGTACTTGTGCCATGGTGCACCCTGAGCGACGCGGAAGCCCTCAATGTTTAGCTGCCACCAAGGACTACCCTTCTTGACCTTGGCGAATTGAATGCTTCCGTAATACTCGCCTTGGTCGATGTAACCAAAGTTGTAGTTTCCAGCCTTGCCCTTCTGCAGATTGGCGGTGAAGACTGGAACTGCTAAATTGTTCTGCACGTTCTGGAAGTAGGTGTTTTGAGGTGTAGGTCGGACAGTGTTTAGGCTTGACATGGCAAGACCCATGATACCGTGAGAGAACTTGTCTGCGGCGATACCATCCGAAACTTCAGTAGCAGACTCAACGGCCTGCTTGTTGACATACGTCTTTCCAACTTGAACCTTGTCGGTGTAGACAATGCCACTGGCACCAGTGCCATCACCGTATTTAATACTCCAAGTCTGACCATTTAGTCGCTTGGAAGTCGTTGACTTGTCTGGCTTGTAGAGAATATGACCAGCTTGGTCAGGTTGATATGTGTCTGTAGAAAACACCCAACTACGACGATTAACAATGTATTTCTCCTAATAGAGACCAGAAAACTTACAGATCAGATGAGCCAGTATCAAAGTTCAGGTATGTTTGTTGAGCTGGAGTACCAATCTTAACAGGGACGACATACTGTGAATCGTAGTACTGAGGCGGCGTTGCCGAAGCAGTACCCTTCATTCCTGACGAGTGTTAGTCGTGTTTATGAAGAAGAGTGACCAAGACTAACCAAGCTTGTTGTTGATGAGGGCAGCTTCATGTTGAGCAATCTTTTTAAGCTTCTGGGGCAAAGGCTTATGGTATTTGTTGTATGCCTGGATGAGGGCAATTTCGGCATGAGGCTTCTTGTAACGTGTGTTGGTGAGTTGGTCCATCTTGACCTTTTCTCCGCCAGCTCTAGGCTTGAGGTGAGCCGAGTCGGGATCATTCTCATGATCAATGGCTCGACCTCGTAGCGTCTTGCCAAGTTCCTCCTCTTCTTGTTCCTCGGGATCAATGTCCCGCTCTTGCAGGCCTTTAACTCCTTCAACCTCTGGATCAACAGCGTTGGGTGAAAAAGGATTCTTGACCTCATAGACATCGCCGCGTGCCTTTAGAGGGTCGTTATCGGATACATCCCTCGGTTTTATGTCCCGATCTTGTAAACCCTTCACACCTTCGACCTCTGGGTCAACAGCATTAGGTGAAAAGGGATTCTTGACCTCGTACACGTCACCACGTGCCGCGAGGACTTGATCTCCTTTGGGGTCTATTGCCCTTTTTTGCAGACCCTTTACTCCTTCAACTTCTGGATCAACGGCGTTGGGTGAGAATGGATTCTTCACCTCGTAGACATCGCCACGGATTTCATGAGGAATACCCGTACTACAGCCGGCGAGTAGGAGAAAGGAAACCGTGCTGAATTTCATCGTGAATGGTGGGTAGGTGAGGAATAGTTGTGATCGTGAGATGGAGATGTATCAAGAGGACGGGGGACTCGGCCTGATATTTCAAGACAATGGGAGTAGCAACCATCCATTGTAAGAGGCGGGCTGAGCGTTCCGGATTGAGGGTAAAGGCTATTCTCCAGGCACTTCGAGATCCATAGCATGGCATTCTGGGCAAGCCTGGAGCTAATTGAAGCCATGCTGTAGAGCTTAATGTGGAATGTGGCCCGTGAAGAGGATGGTTTTGGGTGGAATGCATCTGGATTGAGTATAGTATGGCCTGGCATCTGCATTCCGGGGCCTTGGGGCTAGACATTTTAGCCTCTAGAATGGATGCCACGAGTACGGCAGAGCAGCCATGACCGAGACATGGCCCAAAATGTCCGTTCTTGGTTCCTGGTTCCTGCGTCTGATTTGTCCGAGTTTGTCGTAAACGGTCCCATATTGACGTTGAAGGTGTGCGCCTCAATTGTCAGGGTCCCGTGTATGTGTGTATGGGCGAAGAATCGACTTGAGACTGCCAAAACCGATGGTTTTGAGACTTTTTTTTTGGTGTAGTGATCGACGGACCAGGCGAACAAGATGGGACGGTTATGATGAAAGGACCCTTGGTACATCATTAGATCTACAACAATGTCGTTGTTTCTGTCTTGGTCGGATTTGATCAAGTTCATGCCCAGTTCTGTACCTGCATTTTTCGTAAATCTGTCGTAAATGGCGCCTATGCCATAGTATGACAGCAACATCTTCTGGTCCATCTGGTCCCGAGATCATAGACTAACAACTCGTGGACGGAAATCTCTCATCCGGGCCGTATCCCAAGTTGTCGGTTCCGTAGTTTCGTAAATAACCTCATCTTAGTGCTAACTAGAGATGCTCGTGTCTTGAACTGTCGGAGAGCGGGAATGCACTGACTCGATATGGTGATGTTAGCGGTGGTGTTGAGGTTTGAAACGATGCTCGAGCCGTCTCTTCTAATTCTGGGGGAAATGCTCCGAAGAGAGTAAAGTGGAAGTCATTGGTCAATGCTTAACAAAGGCTCGGTCCCTTCCGCTTTGAGGCTCTTGACTTTCTCAGTAGAGTTTAGAGGTTGACAACACCAATCAGCTCTCTCATACTAGTTTCCTCATGAATAACTGTGACAGATGCGTCGTTACGAGTTCTAATTTTACACTTCAACAGTCACGTCTGTGCTTTCCTGCTTTGGGCCTAATAATGACTTATGCTACGATTCTTGTAGTCCTTTATTCTCAAAGTAATCGTACCTCTCTTTTCACAGTATCAGGCTGGATGACAAAGACAGTGGAGACTTGATGTGAAGTCATCATCGATGGCTCATCCAGTGACTCCTCCACTGAAAACTACCCCTCCATGACTCACCAAAATACAGCAGCATCTCCACTGACAGTCCCCTAGAAGAAGAAAACATCAGGCAGAAGCAAAATTGAGACTCTCCAGATCGTCAATATGAGTAAAAATGATTAATCTGCCTCAATAAATATTCCGAGAATGTAACCTAATTTTCTATATATATTGCATTTATCAAATCTTGAAAACAGAATCTTGCAGATGTTAGCGTGAACCCTGGTAGACACGTCCACTGATAAGATAACGTTTTTTTGAACCCCGCGGTAACAAGGTTGCACAAAAATTCCACAACGCCTTCATCGAATTTGTTCTCGCCAACATAACCGACATACTTTGCAATCTCGCTAAATCGCGTTGCAAATTATTCACCATGGATCCTACGCCAGGACCTGCTGCTCCTCACCAGCCTCCTTACCAATACACAGCAAACCAGGGCTACGAACAGACAGAAGAAATACCCCGCGAACTACAGACTCAAAAAGACGACGGTGCTCTTCTTGAGCAAGAAGACGATAACGATTTTGACGATATTTTCGAGGAAGATTTCGACGATAATGAGTGGGCTGCTGATGCAGGCGACTTGACCAAATCTTATAACCGTCAGCGCAATGCCGACGGCGCCGTTGCTCCTCGCTCGAATCAGCAGAAACCTACTGCGAACACCTTTGCCAGCGTCGACGACCAAGTATCCGCCCTCTCCAAGCACGCCGCCAAGCTTCGTCTTGACAGTGTCAAACAAGATGTCGAAAAAGACAAGGACAAGGCCGACCGCGCCACCAGCGAACAAGTCCTCGACCAGCGCACCCGCATGATTCTCCTCCAGATGATCAACCGTGGCTTTGTTAGCGAAGTCCACGGTGCTATCAGTACCGGTAAAGAAGCCAACGTCTACGGCGCCGTCCTCTACGATGATAAGACTGGCGAGACTACTCAAAGAGCTATCAAGGTCTACAAGACAGCCATTCTGAGCTTCAAGGATAGAGAGCGTTACATCACCGGTGAACACCGTTTCAAAGGTGGCTTTGACAAGGGAAACAACAGGAAGATGGTTAAGCTTTGGGCGGAGAAGGAATTCCGCAACTTACGAAGGATCTACACAGCTGGTATTCCCTGCCCAGAGCCTATCAGCCTCAAGCTTCACGTTCTCGTCATGGGCTTCCTCGGCGACCGCAAGGGCTGGGCGTATCCTCGCCTCCGTGACGCTACTCTAACGGGCGACGATGTCGATCAGCAGTGGTATAAGCTTTATGTTCAGCTGCTTGGCATCATGCGCCGAATTTATCAGGTCTGTCGTCTTGTCCACGCCGATCTGAGCGAGTACAACATTCTCTACCATAAGGAGAAGCTTTACATTATCGACGTGTCGCAAAGTGTGGAGCCTGATCATCCTCGGTCTCTTGAGTTCCTGCGTATGGATATCAAGAATGTGGGTGACTTCTTTAGACGGAAGGGCGTTGATACGCTTGCTGACCGCGCTATCTTCAACTTCATCACTACCCCTGAGGGTCCCGTGGAGGAGCCAGAAATGGCCAAGGCGATCGAGACTCTGTACGAGACTCGCGCTGATACTACTGAAGACCAGGCTGCTCAGATCGAGGTTGACAACGAGGTGTTCAGAAACCAATACATTCCTCAGACATTAGAGCAGGTTTACGATATTGAGAAGGATGCTCAAAAGGTGACACAAGGTGAAGGTAACGACCTAGTCTACAGTAATCTACTGGCAGACCAGGTCATCGCTCCCAAGAAGGATGGTGAAGACAACGAAGAGGAACAAGCTTCCACATCCGACTCTGACGATGAAGGTGCATCTCTCTCAGGCGACTCAAACGACGAGGCCAACTTCGAAAAGGGTCCTCCCCGCGGCCGTCGCTTCGAGGATAAAGATGAGAAGAAGGTTTGATTCCCAACACCCATTCTCCTTGAGAAACTTTACTGACCAATAACTCTCCAGGCCCACAAACAAGCCGTCAAGGAAGCTAAGCGCGAGAAGCGCAAGGAGAAGATGCCCAAGCACCTAAAGAAGAAGATCGTCGCCACCTCGTCCCGTCGCAAGAAATAGACCTGAACAGCTCAGTCTTGGCGATTCCTTATTCGCTTTCTCCCCCCATTCCGGGGCAAGAGACCGTTGTGTCGAGAACGCAGGGCCCTTTGGCCGAAGGAGGAGTAGCACGAAAAGCCTATATCAACCCTTCCCCCAGGCACTGCAATCGGATGATGAAGACATTGATTCGTCGCCCGGAGATGTCACGCCGGCCGAGACGGTTTAGCATTCCCCTTCTTGGGGTCTGTGTAACCTCCGGTTCTTTGGCTCCCGCGGCGATCTGAACGTTCCCCTTTTCATGGGTCCGTTTTGAACGATCAAAGAGAGCTCTGACGATTTGTATTTTGCCTCCCCTTCCCGTTCCGTTCCGGTATGGGAGAGGTGGGTTCCCACCGGATGAGGCCTGGCTGAACCTCTGTAACAAGGGGCTGAAGAAAGCACACCGGAAAAAAAAGTAACGACTTGAATATTATGTATGAAATGCCCTGATTTTATCGCTCAGTTGTGTTTTTTACAACACAAATAAAAAGTCAAAAGTTAACCCTCCCCCTTTGACGCCATTACATGATAACGTACAATCTCAATCTGATCAAAATATCTCAAATTTCAACTCCCGGCAGGTAATACCGTAACAGGACTGGTTATGTTCAAAAGTAAAACTGCTGCTGGGGCTGGCCTGGCGGTGGCTGGGCTAGGAAGTCAAAGTTCAACGAGTCCATTCCCGTGTTCCACGGGTCCGGCGATTCTGTGGCGAGTTAGTTTTTGGCCTGTCAAGAGAGTAGAGTATGACAGATGGGAAGTGACATACCACCCCAGATAGATTCGTAGAGGTCCATGGGAGCCATGTATTGCGTAGGATCGACGTTCATGGCGTTCATGCTGTCGAGATTCAGGTTTCCGTTTGGCATCTGCTGACCGTATGCAAGACTAGGCACGCTTTTATAAACGTTCACATCAGAGAGAGGGGAAAGGAATACTGACCCTGGAAAGTCTTGAATTGAAGCTCCTCCGTTTTGCATCTCAGCCATAGCGAGCGCTGCGTCCTCTCTGGGGTCTGCGCTCTGGGAAACGTTGCGAAACAATGAATTGCCATTTCCGGGAAGTTGACCTGGGTTTCCAAAGGGGTTAAGGGGCGTCCGGCTCCCGCTGCCGGCGGCAGAGGCGTCGCCTTCTTTCTTGAGGTGTGACGGGACAATAGAGCCATGGTCGTAAATGTTCTTGAGGGCCGTGAGGGCGCGGTACAGTGGGCCGGAGAGTTCAATGTCCTTGTCGGTGGTCATGACATGCGGCTCAGGGGAGCTAACGTCCTTGGCAGCAGTGGCAGAGAGAGCAGCGATCAGATCACCCTGTAACTGCCGAACCTCTGGATCCGTCTTTGTCTCACATAGTATGCCGAGGAGCAGAGCTGATGATAGGCCGTGATACGTGAAGGCCCAGCTTCTCGTTGGGATGGAGGAGAGCTGGTGCATGGCGAGAAACATCCTGACGGTTTCGGTTAGGTTGTCTTTGCAGCGATCTGCTAGCGTCTTTCGCTGCTCGGGCTCGAATTCGCTGTCTTTTCGGAGTGCTGGACGACATGCGACGGAGATGACAAATGATGTGTGGAGGCGGATTGCAAAGTGTTGGAGCCGGTCGAGAGCTGTCTTGCAAATCTCTTTATTTCGTAATTGTGGTGCGGTGCGGCTTCGAAGGGTTTCTACGGCTTCGCAGTCGTCGATGATTTGGGCGTATGAAGCACTCATCATGTCGTCGGGGTTTAGGCGACGAGAAATGATTTCCATGAGATGGTACATTGTTTCGAGGTATGAGTAGTTACCGCTTGGTGAGGGTGACATGACGGGGATCGGACAGCAGGGGAAGTTGGTCATTGGAGATCTAACAGCGTTAGAGGTGAGCCATCAACATGCGATACTCAATTACTCACCTGTCAAAGGAAAGCGACGTCAAGGTGTCGTGCCAGACAACGCTCCACCATAATCTTCTTCGCACCATTTCTTTCGATTGGGTGTTTGGGGGTGTACAGTCGCGGCTTTCGTTACGCGGTGTTCTGTGTAGACCGAGCGATTGGGCAAGACGACAGGTCAATCCCATCAGCGCCCATGATGCTTCAGCCTTCATGTCATTCAGAAGAACGAAACATGTAAGAAGAAGAGCTTGGATAGAGTCAAAGGAAGGTCTACGATGTGTCAGTCCAGGTTTGTCAAAATTGGCAGGCTGCATTACCGAAGAAGAAAGTTGCCCAGTCGGAGAAAGTGAAAGGATATCTGAATGAAGCGCTGAGAGTCTCGGGTGCGAATGTGGTATGGCGATTCGTGGTACTGTGATCCAACGGCCAAAACGGCGAAGAGTATTGCCAGCCATGACGCGGTAACTGGTTTGGTGGACTTGATGCCGTTTGTCGCATTGCGTGAACGATCTTCTAGGTAAGTCATGAGCTTGGCCTCAAGGTCGTCAATGTCCATAACGAATCCCCAAAAAGGCTGAGGTATTTCCTTGTATGTACGGAACAGCCTGAATGGCTCGTCAGCTTACGATCTCGCCACAGCGATTGAGCAGAGGGCAAAGGCGAATACTCACTTCATAACCTCGCGGTCGGAAGGTAGTTCAGTGGATATATCCTGTGTCAATTTCTGAAGGTGATGCGACGACATCAGCGGGAAAGGCGCCGATGTGTCCAAGCCGAGAATGGACCTCATGTCTTGTCGAATGTCAAGACCTTCACCTTTGTGAACTGGTGAAGACTGCTCGCGCAGTAAGGCAGGAATACTGTTCTGCCCAAGGTAACGGTCTGCTGCAACCTCCGGTTCATCGATGCTTGCTGTATTGTTTATTAGTCGTATGAACGGTGGCATGACCCGGAACTTCGGATACTCACCAAGGGTGCGCGGCCAACTGTCCTGTCGCTCAACCTTGCGCACTCCTTCGTCGCGAGGAGCTTCTGAGAATGAATGTGTTCTCTTTCGATTGGCGATGCCTTGACTTGATTCTGAAGGTGCAGCAGAGCCTGACAGCTTTGAGGTTGATGAGCGGTTGGGCTTATAGGAACATAGTCTTGGATGCTCTCTCTTGACGCAGTTTTCACAAGGTTGTTTATTGTCGCACTTGACTTTTCTCTGACGACAGGGCCAACAGGCAGTACCTAACGTGATGATGAGCTATCGATTTCCTCAATTGAGGTTATTCACAGTAATCTCTTACCGTAGCGAACCTTGCGATGGGAATGTATGATTCGATTGGCCTCCTCTGGGGTCAGGTCATCAATGGCTACCCGCTCATCTGGACTAGGGTTCTCAGCCATGGTGAATCGGGGATATGGGCTCAGAGACGAGCCGTGGAGCCAAACAAAGGTCGCGATAGCAATTGCGATGTGATGTTATGATTGCAGATGAGGGTTTACGAATGCCGAATTCCGAGAGTCTCCCATGCGATAGCGATAAGAGAGCGGGCGAAGGAGGGGAAGATTGCGGTGCTGACGAGCGGGGCCGGTTCGGCTTTCGAATTGGTTTTAGTTAGGATCGGGATGGTATTAATAAGGTAATAAAGAAGGGGAAGAATGCACTTGGCGGCTGATCTTTTGACCTTTGGTTTCTCTATGCTTGGCTGTTGATTCGTTCAATGGGGCACGAGACCAGTATGAGAACCGACATCCCGAAGCCACCGGTCGGATAAACTGAGGCCGATTCCGCGAAGCAAGCCACAGCCTGTCATGATTATCTCGTCTCTAGGGTAAGGAGACAAGAGAAATGACGATTCATTCTCCATGTTTATCATGTTCAGCTTCATTTTTGACAATTATCAACAGTTCCTATTAGCACTCAATCAATGCAACTTCAGTTTATCATGATTCGCTCTTTCTCTCGTCCTTTTTTGCTGTTTCGTCTTGCTGTTTTCTCTGCGTGGGGGCCTACCATTCACTGCCTGTCTCAAGTGCCTTCATTTCTATCCAACATCTGCGCTCGCCCATGCTCCCCTGTCCAATCACCATATTTTTCTGATACCCAATTTGTTCTTGCATGATCCAACATTGGACTCGGTTTGGTTCACGAGGCTGTACATTGATTTGCTGAATAGAGCTGTTTTGTTACAACAAACCACCACCGTCTTTCAGGACCAGAACTGCCATTGCAACCGTTTTCACGCCTTCGAGATCGAGGCCGAGAACTCAAACAGCTATAAAGTGTCCCGTTTGCTAAGGAACACTTCAATCACAATTGTACGACCTGCAGCTCTGGCTGGCTGAGCCTCTGCGCAGCGCAGCGCAAGCTGAGAGTGATCTCCCGCCCTCAATTGTCGCGCGCTAATTTTACTGACTCTAGGCTCTCATGCTCGCTTCCCAGATTCCCCATTCACTCATTTGACTGTTTCAACCGATTTGACTCTCTAATTTTTGGCTTCTGGCGCCGGTCGTCATGGCTAGTCAGCTCTCATCCAGGAAAGGAGAGCAAGCCAAAGACGAACTCGATCGCACCATTCGCTCGCTCAGCACTGATTTTCAGCTTCAGCTTCACATCCCTGACTTAACTCTGTCGCCCAGTAAGCGCCGGCAACAGCATCGCAATGGAGACCAAGAGCGAAGCGAACACATCTACCTATGCGCATATCGCCTAAAGTTCCAGGACCCCAACCGTCTCTCGATATGTCTGACTCGCTTCCGTGAGCAAGCGGACGAGCATCTCAAGAATTGGATCTGGAAGCCCCGTGCTGACCCTGATACGACCCCGACCAAATCCTCCTTCGGCCCACTTCCACACCGTCCTCATACCCGCTTGACTCCAGAGGAGCGGGCCGAGCTACAGGACTTTCTGCTGCAGTTGCTCAAAGACGACAATATCGTGAATCGCCAGCGTTCTAAGTATTCGAAGCGCAAGTCTGATGAATTCCTGGATCCTAGTTCCAAGAGATCTAGAGACTCTTTCGAGGGTTCCCCTGCGTACGATAGCATTGACAGTATCCCAGTTCGTTCTAGCGCTGTGGCCTCCAGTAGCCGTCTATCAACGGGACGGCCCGCTCGAGGCGCAGGTACATCGTCCTTCACCAATGGTATAGCCAATTCCGCCACCACATCATTTGCCAGCACTCAGCCATCATCGTTCGGCATAAGGTCATTCAATTCCAGTAGAGTTTCACTGGCTCCAACTGATTTCACAAATGACTATGCGCCGAGCACTCAAGCAACTACCGTAACGAATACCTCGTTTAAAAGATCTCAGCAACCCTTTCATAGCACTCAACCTTCCTTCACTAGCAATGCGACCTCATCGAAAGACATTCAGATTCCCTTCTCTCAAAGTATTCGAAGATTTGAGTACAAGCCACCAAGCGAGGAAAATCACAATGACGTTGATCCAGCGAAACCGCCTTCATTTCGGAGGTATGGGGATCGAACGCCCCCAGAGCCTGTCATCGATCTCACCAATGAAGATGAGCCCATGGAAGAGCCAAGGCTTCCAGTTCTGTCAATGCCTCAGCCTATACGGAGCCAGGTCGATTTGAAGAGAACATGCCTGATTCGATCCAGCAGCCCCGCGACAGCCTATTCTAGCCTGCCAGAAATGAACGAGTTTGACACAATGCTGCTCGATGCTCCCATCTTTGACCCAGAACCACCTGGATGTGCGCTGACAGATCGCCTTCGAAACATCTGGCCAAAGTTCCCCATTCCCGGGTTGAATCAGGCCCCTCTGATCATTCTGTGGGAGCTTACCCGTGCCGCGCTTCATTGTCGCGTGGACTTGTCTACGTGGGATCTCGAATACCAACCTAACGATAGTTGGCATGATCAAACCCAGTTCCGAGGCCAGATCTTCAGACATCGACTCTTTGTCGGACAAGGCTTGCCTCCAGCTTGCGATCGTGCCGTATGGGATGCTGCGTTCGGGTCATTCGCCTCACAAGACAAAGCCGTCGTTCTTGCTGCAGAATTTGTCTGTAATACAGAAGATTCTGGGCAATTATATCGGCTCAAGCTTCAACCACCGCGTCTTGAGCTTGGACATCGACTGGGTCGTCGTTTTGGTGCAGATCGCTTCTTGGAAGTTATCATGCCATCGCCCACTTCCAGAGACGCGCCCGACATAATTAAGCAAGACCCGCAAGGTGCAAATAAAGTCATCAAATGGTTGACTGAGAGCCTTCATTATTTTGTCGGTCGCTCATGGACAGCTTTCTATACTCGAGAGGCTAAGAAGTCCATCAAAGACCCGCGCCCTCCTCACAAGTCACTTACGATCATGCAAGAGCGCGTCTACTTCTTCGCAACTGATGGTATCAACTTTCGTCTTCCCATGAGTCAGTTTCCTCCTTTGGAAGAAGCGACATCTCTAGGGTATCGTACAAAGATGCGACGCTGTGATCTCTTGAATTGGGCTATTAATATCGAGCAGAACTCCTCACAACCGGTGCCAAAGTTGTTTTCACGACTTGCTCTCAGTGAGTTGTTTGACCGTTTTTCATGCTCTTAGCTAATATTCCAGTCCAGGCCTCAGTAAGACTGTTCCCACTATCGTCATTGAACCTCACCAATTTCGACATCGCGATACAATGCTAGGTTTCCACAAGTATATGAGCAATAAAGAGAAGAAAGAGCAGAAGGATATGGGTGACGGTATCGGTCGAATGTCTCGCAACCTGGGGCGGAGGATAGCGACTCACTTGGGACTCTTGGAAACACCATGCGCATTCCAGGCACGAATCGGGAGTGCGAAAGGGATGTGGATAGTTGACGTCGAGGACGATGGTCTTGACAACGACGATTGGATCGAGACTTATCCCTCACAACGCAAATGGAACTGCGACTTTGAAGACATTCATCACCGGACATTTGAGGTGCGCGAATGGTCCAGAGAGCTGAGGTCTGCTGCACTCAACACGCAGTTCATCCCGGTTCTTGAGGCGCAGGCGCCTGTGCCCAAGGATATGCGCAATGTTATCGCTCGTCACCTGGCAAATGGTCTTCAAGAGGAGATTGGGGGTCAACTCGCTGCCATGACCCATCCGACTAATCTTCGTGGCTTCACACATCGCGGATTTGACCGAGCGACACTGGGAAATGTCCCATTCCTGGGCGCCCTGCCAGAACGAGAAGAAGACATTATCTCATACATGCTCGACGCTGGCTTCGACGCCACCAAGTGTCGTTTCCTGAGAGATATGGTGTGGAATAACCAGAAGAGACAGGCTGAACAGCTCAAGGCGAAGATGAATATCAAGATTCCTCGATCGACCTACGCGTTCATGACGGTGGACTTCACTGGTACACTAGAAGAAGGCGAGGTTCAGCTTGCGTTTTCCTCGAAATTTCAAGCAGATGGTGAATCAGATACGCTGCTTGATGGGATCAACATTCTCGTAGCTCGAGCTCCAGCCCATTTTGTCAGCGACATACAAAAAGTCAAAGCTGTGTTCCGACCGAACTTGAAGAGGCTTAAAGATGTCATCGTGTTTTCGTCCAAGGGCAAGTCTCCGCTCGCCGACATGCTTTCTGGTGGTGATTACGATGGTGATTTGGCTTGGATATGCTGGGACCCTGATATTGTCAACAACTTCAACAATGCGCCAAAGCCAATCGAGCCGGATCTCGTTGGGCAGGGATATCTCCGAAAGTCCAACCCAAGTTTCAGTTCTATCCTGGATGCGGCCACTGATGTCGATAGTGCATGCGCAGACTTTCTTTGCACAGCGATCTCGTTCAACATGCAACCAGGGTATTTAGGTATCGCGACCAAGTTCAAAGAAAAGCTGTGTTACCTGGAAAGAGGAGTCAACAGCGAACGGGCTGTTGCTTTGAGTACCCTGGTCGCTCTCCTCGTGGACCAAGCCAAACAAGGATTGTTGTTCACTCGTGAAGACTATGATCGGTTGAAGCGCGATATGAAAATGAAAGGCAAAGACCCAGAATATGAGAACGAGAGGAGTTCCAGACGCAACTACGTCAACAGGGATGGTTCCATACATATTCTTGATGAGCTCAAGTTTATGGTAGCTGAGGACACAATCGCAGATGCATTGAAGAAGTTCTCTGATGCTCTCTTTGGGAAGGACGTCCCCGTACAAGCATGGGACAAGGATCTAGCTCGTCTTTGGGACGACTTCGAAAGCCAGAAGAACGATTCGAGGATCATTGGCAGACTCATGACTGCCCTCCGTGCACAGGTTTCTGATACCACCAACGAATGGAGGAGGGCAATGGCTGGCGGTAAAAGCGATCCCTCGAACAGCGACTTTGGCGTTAAAGTCAGAGAAATACATCAGAAATGGTCTTCATACCAACCACCACCCGAGCTCCTTACATCGAAGCAAGTTAAGCCCCTCCTCGACAAATGGAGCGGCGACCCATCCTTAAGCAAATGGGAGCTCCTCAAAGCATCAACCATGTTCAAACTAGGCTATGAAAACTCATACAACATGCTCTGGCGTCTCTCAGGCAAACAACTCGCCTGGATGAAAGCAACGATGTCACGCAGCACATCAGACGCAAGCGCGATCGCAGTGACGGCTGAGATGTGGAGTATTCTCAAACCTGACAACAAGCGTATTGCGGCGCTCAATGCGCGGAGGCAGATCGGGCATGACAATGAGAGTCTGGCGGCGCTGGAGGAGGTCACGGAGTATGACGAGACGGGGACGCAGATTGACGATGCCTAGAGGCGCATTGGATCGGATAGTTCGACGTTCTCGAATACGGGATCTTTTAAGAGCGGGGGCTCTTGACGTTGGATGCAGATTTGGGAGGAAAAGGTTGAGACTTGAGGATATTGAGAACGTGGGGGCGTTGGATATGCTGATGCGAAGCTGGCTTGGGCGTCCTTCAGCTGATCACGGGCGTGATCCAATGCAATCGAGGGTTTGTATTTGTGGAATTGAGTGATATCCTGGCGTTGTAATTAATACACTACATTCTACTCGCAACAGACAGAAGAGCTGAGTAGTCTTTACTAGAGAAAATACTTCCGGTGGAGGTGCATCGCAGTGACTTTGCTGTGTATATCGTCATTCGTTTTGTGGTGCTAGCACATGATGTGATGTCTAAGATCCAGGAACAAGGAATTAAGGCCAAAGCGCTGCAGGCTGCAGCCACTACCGATGATCGAACTGTAAAGTCATGCTTCGAAATTTCCCGTGCTTTATTCCCATAACAGCTGCCAGGGTTTCAATCAGCTAACGCCAAGCACTGGAATGTTCCTTGTCTCCGTCATGACGCGCGTAAATGATCTGTGATGAATTCAACATTAGGCGGGCGAGCTGCATTCATTACACAGCACGGTCTACTTGTGTATCCGTATGAAACAGAGAAATGCAAACAAAGAATCGGGTTATTCTGTAAACAAAAAGGCCGCTCGGACGTCCTTAAGCATAACGGAAACTCCCAAATTCACAAGATTAGGTTGGCGCTCGGCAGGTCGGCATTGGACAAGACACTAGCGGCTCTTGGTCTTCAGCTCTTCAGGCCCTGTAGCTACAGGGAGCTTCCGCTGGTGGCAGATCTGATTGGGCGGGAGGGGGGATCTAAACCATTTTCCGTTACAGCTCTGGCGCCTCAATGAGGTCATTGAGTTTAGGCCAAGCTCCGTGTGTGTGATGTCTTTGATTCTTGGGCAATCTTGGAGGGCCCCGCTTGGACTGTATGTGATGATAATCTTCTTTTTTGGTGCCCTCCCTTTTGTGTTTGTGTTTGTGTTTACACTTCACATCTTCATCATCACCATCAGCATTGATTGAATCAGTCATCAAGCGCGATTGATTTTTCGGTATTCGTATTGCGACCCGGTACTTGGTATCCCTGCGCTGATCACGACCCCATCGCGAATAAGAAACATCCTCCCTGGAGCAACGAGACTGAACCAGGCGGCGAAAGTAATTCGTCAAAGAGCCTCCTAAGTTCATCGTAAACTTATCAAGGCATCTCTTTTACAAGGATCGACCATGGGCGAATCCGACAATTACTACAATCCGAATCAACAGCCGCCGTACGGCTACTCCAACGGCGGCGGTTATCAACAACAATACCAACCTCAACCTCCCCCCGCGACCCATCAGCAACAATATCAACCACCGCCTCAACAGCCATACCCTCCCCAGAATGGCAACGGCTACATGCCCGCCCAAGGCTACGGCGGCAACGAAAAGGCCTCGTTCGAAGAGCAGTTCCAGATCCCCAAGCCAAAGTACAACGATCTCTGGGCTGGTATCCTCTTCATTCTCTTCATGGCTGGCTACGTTGTTGTCTCTGGTATTGCGCTTCAAGGATACGCAGCGAATAAGGGGAATGCTGGGTCTGGAATTTACGGTAATCGGAATGACTTTTCGCTGAACACGAGTACCGTTATTCTGTTCATGTTTGTACTCGCTGTTGCGTTTGTGTTATCGTGTGCATATGTTTGGCTTGCGCGGTTGTTTCCGAAGCAGTTTATTTGGGTTACTGGTATTCTCAATATCTGTTGGGCGCTTGGAACTGCTATCTTTTACCTGTGGCGCAGATACTGGTCTGCTGGAATTGTGTTCCTCATCTTTGGACTTTTCCTGGCCTTCTGCTTCTGGACATGGATTTCTCGAATTCCCTTCTCGGCGCTGATGCTTCGAACGACCATCGACGTTAGCAAGAAGTATGGCCATGTCTACCTCACTAGTCTGATTGGAGGCATCATCGCTACGGCTATGTCTGCTTGGTTCTCTATCACTCTTGTCGCAATCTACGTCAAGTATCAGCCCGCGAACGACAACCCCTCTTGCGCCGACGGCGGCTGCAGTGAAGGCAAGGTCATCGGTCTCATCGTCTTCATCACCTTCGCCATGTACTGGTTCTCCGAGTGGCTCAAGAACACCATCCACACCACAATTGCCGGCGTCTACGGCTCTTGGTACTTCAACCCTCACAACTTCCCCAAAGATGCTACTCGCGCTTCTGCCAAGCGAGCCTTGACCTACAGCTTTGGTTCCATTGCACTGGGTAGCTTGCTGGTCGCCATTATCCAGTTCGTCCGTCAGATTTGCACCGCTGCTCGAAACCAGGAGGCTGCAGATGGCAGCATGTTGGGATACGCTCTGTTCTGCTGCATTGGCTGCCTTCTTGGTATTTTGGAGTGGGCTGTTGAGTTCATCAACAGATATGCTTTCTGCCATATTGCGCTTTACGGCAAGGCTTACTTTGCGGCTGCGAAGGATACCTGGAAGATGATCAAGGACCGAGGAATTGACGCTCTGATCAACGTAAGTACAATCACCTTTTCTTCAAGCACACTGCTAACTTGTGTAGGACTGCCTCATCGGACCTGTTCTTTCGTTCGGCGGCCTCTTCATCGCATACGCTTGTGGTCTCCTTGCCTACCTCTACCTCTACTTCACCGATCCCCCTTACAACAGCGACGGTCAATACACAGCAGTCGTCATGGCATTCTCGTTCCTCATCGGCTTCCAGATCGCAAACATTTTCACCACCCCGATTTCGAGCGGTGTCGAGACAATCTTTGTTGCTGCTGGTTGGGATCCTCAGGTCATGTGGCGCGATCACCCCGAGCTTTACCAGGAGATGTGCAGAGTGTATCCCAAGGTTCAGCAGGTCATTCATGATCGATAAGCAAGTCAAGATGGAGATGCATCTTGATATCATCATGTCTCTACCCTGAGTAAGTCATAACGAGCGACTGATTAGCTAAAATGACGAATACTTACTGAATTATAGGATAAAAAGTCCAAGCTTAGGCTAGAGAAGCCTAAGGACTGGGATTCTTTTCACGATTGACTGATTGACTGGCCGCTTGTCTTTGAATGATACCATAGAAGGATACTGGAGGATTCATTGTGTCTTGTGCATGATGAAAATTGTCTTTTGTTTCGCTCAGCGGTTTTGTACCGCTGAGAATATGTAATGATCCGTCATAATAAATAATAACTTCTTCTTGAACTTGAATCTTGCTTGGTGTTTTGATTCACCGATGATGTTGAATGACTGTAGCTTACCTGAACTGTGCAAGGTATCAGGGACTATGACTAAGGAAGTGGTGTTTTGACGCTTCATGTTTATAAGGGGCGCAATTGTAAACCGGTCTGGAGGCTGAAGTGTTTGTATAAAGTGCATGCAGATTATCGAGCTGACTTGAGCTGCGCATTTTGTTCGACAAAGGAGCTATTGTGGTGGGCTAAAATGGCAGCGAAGGACGGACGCAAGATGGGCTGGCACCACACCAACAAAGGTCAGATCTCAGAACCGGACGATGATAGGCTCCTTCTAGTGATCAATCTAGTGACTTGAAGGTTAATATGGAACAGATTGGTTACCCGAACCAATTTGCAGCATAACCCAAGGTGAAGGAGTTTCCGCATCGTTTTCGTATGTTGGCTTGGGGTGATCCGTCGTCAAACCTTGGCTACAAACGAAGTGGTGTGAGTTTACAGCTCCAACATCAACACCAACTGCGCCGCACAGTCTCACTCAAGCATGGATACAAAGGTCCTTTTGGATATCACATCAAACAGCCAACAATAATTGCCAAGAATAGACCATCAAGCATAGAGCCTATCGGACTTGCGCCCGTAACGACACGAGGGAATAGTCAGTTCATGCATGCCTCGCGGGAAGATCTCCCGGATCTTATTTTCCTATCACGATCCTAGCTAGGTCCAAGCTGAAGGGTATGATAGGGGGGAGTATTACACAACTTGATCGTCAAAGAATTTGTCAGTTAAACTGTGGTGAGACGGCGGGGGGAGGGAAGCGAGATTGTCGAATGATGGGGATAACGCGGAGGAAGAGACGGCTATGCAGTGGTGGAATGTTTTGTCATCTGAGTGAATGTTACTGTGACGATGCCAATGGTCAATTGCACTAATAATGGTTTGGGGGTAAAGTGTTTTCGACCGTTGGGTTGAACTGGGGATGAGGCTTGATATCCGATTGAAGCATCACAACTGCTCCCATCACATCGGAACTCTTCATGACTCAACTGACAGTCTCGGCCCGTAATCGCCATCAGATCCCCAGTCACAAACTAAACAGTGATGGCATCTTGCGGAGTCAGTACATAATGAAAACACCCAAGCCCAGGTTCTCCTCAAACCCCGTTTGACGCCATGAATGCTTATTTTCAGCATCACGTAACCGTATCAAAATCACTCGGCTAGATCCATTATTTCGTCCCCAGTATCAGCGAGTCTAGCAGGTTTTATTGATGGTCGGTGCTCTCCGATAATGGAGAAGTGATTCACGTAAAACAGTCACGTCGGAGATGCGAGGTTGTCGTCGGCAGAAAGAGCCGCATATCCTTGTTAAACCTCTACGAAATGGCCCGACAGTTTAAAGCTGAGAGAGTTACTGGGAGGGTGCCTTGTCAGACCACGAGCAGCTGCATGTAACTTAAGCCACCCGATCCAAGGCTTCGATTTGTTCCATGCAGAATATCAAGCCACTTGAAATTTTCTCTTTTTCTTGGCTTGAGACACACTCATTGGTTGTTTTGCGTGGTTTTGCAGCGGACTGTCCGTGGCAAGGATTTCAAGTGGCGCGTGAAAAAAACAACCCCTGGCCCTTGAGAACTTTTTCTTCTGCGTTTTTAGCGTGGCGGCTCGGGAAACCTAACTCAATTGGTAACGAACCGGAAACTACAGAATTAAACATCTCGCGATATTTCACATTCAACGTGATTAACCCAAAAACCCGGAGCTCTCCTTTACTACTTGTATATTGAAAATATGATGTGTAGTTTATGACTGTGATATGTAGGGTGATTTAATCGAAATAGGAAGCTGGGGAAGGCGGGTAATTTAGGTTGTTTGATGGTTGAGTGTTGTGGTGATCGCTGAGATCGCTCATACCGGGAGGCAAATGTTCGAGAAAATCTCGCTGCCAAAATATCCATTTACATCCACTCACACAGACCAGACCTTGGTAGGTAACTGGCCTGGTCCGATATCGAAATTTTTCGTAATGGGCCCATTCATTCCCGATTGATATACCCATCCCCGTTGACATTTCATTTTTTTACATAACAGAGTCATTGCCAGCCCACTTGGTCTCGGTCTTTCGTCTCTCATCTCATCTTACCACTCTTCTCCCTTTCTTTCAAGCGAGTCAATCCTGTCTTCTTGTCTCTTGTGTCTCGCATTATCGACAGCTTCACTGTTACCTGAGATACAGCCATCATGCTCATGGACTCTTCCTCAGCGGACGAAAAGTCCCCTCGTGTTAGCAACGAGAAGAAAACCCCCAGCAAGGAAGATGTCGAGACCGGCGAGGCTGGCCTCGACAGGGCCATGAGCTCGCGTCACTTGCAGTTCATCGCTATTGGCGGCACCATCGGAACAGGTCTCTTCCTCGGTGTAGGTCCAGCCCTCGTCAAAGCAGGTCCCGTGTCGCTCCTCGTCGCATTCGCCTTCATGGGTTCCGTCGTGTACTCCGTCATGGTCAGCTTGGGAGAGATGGCGGCGTACATCCCCATCACTGGATCGTTCACCTCGTATGCCGCTCGTTTCGTCGATCCCACGCTGGGCTTCGCCATGGGTTGGCTGTACTGGTTTAGTTGGTCTATCACCTTTGCGCTGGAACTTGTTGCCGCGGGTATTATTATCCAGTATTGGGATTCGGATCTTAGTATTGCGATCTGGATCAGTGTTTTCTGGGCGTTATTTACGGCGTTGAACTTTGTCCCCGTGAGGATCTTTGGAGAGATTGAGATGTGGTTCTCTATGATCAAGGTCGTTACCATCATTGGCTTCATCATCTTCTCCATCTGCGTAAACGCTGGTGTTGGTGAGGAGGGCTACATTGGTTTCAAGTACTGGAAGGATCCCGGCGTCACAAACACCTACATGGACATTGACGGTGCCACGGGCAAATTCGTCGGTTTCTGGGCTGTTCTCGTCACTGCTGGTTTTTCGTACCAGGGCACTGAACTCGTCGGTGTAGGCGCCGGTGAGACCGCCAACCCCCGCAAGGCTATTCCCAAGGCTATCCGCTGGACTTTCTGGGGAATTTTCAGTCTGTTCATGGCGACCGTCTTCTTCGTCGGTATCAATGTTCCCTCCAACGATCCTCGACTTGACTCTGGTGCGCAGGATGCTTCTGCTTCACCTCTCGTCGTCGTCGCTACCCGCGCTGGTGTCAAGGTGCTTCCTGACATCATCAACGCCGTTCTTCTCTCTGCCATTCTCACAGCTGCCAACTCAAACGTCTACTCTAGTAGCCGTATCATGGTCGCGCTCGCTGAAGATGGTCTTGCTCCCGCTTTCATGAAGCGCACTAACAAGTATGGAACTCCTTACTTTGCTGTGGCTTCATGCTCTGTCATGGGTCTCATCGCCTACATCAACCTGTCCTCCAGCGGAGCCGAGGTGTTCAACTGGCTTCTCAACGTCAGTTCCACCTCGTGCTTCATCACCTGGGTCCTCATCAACGTCTGCCACATCCGCTTCCAGAAGATCATGCGCGTGCAGGGAATTCCCCGTTCTGAGCTGCCCTACCTCGCTCCTCTCCAGCCCTACCTTTCCTACTACGGTGCTTTCTTCGTGGCGTTGATCACCATCACTTGTGGTTTCACAGCCTTTATCGATTGGAGCGTAGCCGATTTCTTCTCCAACTACATCAGCTTGATGCTTTTCGCGGCGTTGTATGTTGGTCATAAGCTCATCTGCCGAACCAAGGTTGTTCCTCTAGCTGAGGTTGATCTGAGCAAGGGACGAGAGGAAATGTAAAACGAGTTTCGATTCGGAGTTTTGGGTGTTGGAAAAGTAGCAAAAGTTTTGTGTCCTTTTTGGCGTATAGCAGTTAATAGTTGTAATGAGAGATATGATACCCTGAATACTCGAGTCTCGTCCGTGAAGTCGAATGTGTAGTACTTTAGAATCGATAATTCGAAGTCAGGGGATGGATAATAGGATAAAACAGACATCAAAGGTCAGGGGGACATCGATGGTTTTATTGTAGCACGATGAATTTATTTTACGTCAAATAGTGGCATGAGACCACGGAATGGCACTCTTTTTTCGGTAAAAGTATCAAATTATTTGGTAATTTTTTATTAGCAGCATGTCAAGACATGGCAAAGGGCGTTGTGTCTCGACATGATGGGACCCAGTTGACAATGACAAGACAAGGTAAAGGGCGTTGTCAAGGCGGGTCCCTTTATCTTATCGTTTGACAAGCTTTGGTGGGACCGGATAAAGTGATGGAGAATAATCATGCTATTTTATTTATAGGATTTGATTAATGGGTTTCCGTTTGTTATGGTTAATTTTCAACGGTTCAATTATGGTGTCGCCGTTTCCCTGCTGGTTCGATGGAGGAAAATAAAGATTTGCTGATCTTCAGCACTGAGATAGCCAAGCAGACAATCACAAGATCTTGACCTGGGCACTCATGTATATCAATATTGGTTTTAAAAAAAAAAATGTCGTTCTCGTTCATTCTGTCCCAAGGACTCTCAACTGCTTGTACTGCCCACTGCTCAACCCTTGGTACAGGCGTTGTGTCGTCCATAACTTGGTCTGGTCCGGGAGTCATGGAGGAGGAACAGGATTCCTATCAAGCTCGGCGGACGCCTTCGATCCGTTCCGGCGACGAGTTCATCTCCCCGAAGAGCAAAC